AGAGCAGGGGAGGGGCAGAGAGAGAGGGAGACACAGAATCCAAAACAGGCTCCAGGCTCCGAGCTGTCCGCACAGAGCCCGACGCGGGGCTCGAACTCACAGACCGGGAGATCATGCCCTGAGCCGAAGTCGGCCGCTCAACCGACTGAGCCACCCAGGCGCCCCTCAGTTTCCTTATTTGTAAAATGGGCTCATAACAGTACCTATTCTGTCCAGTTGATGGGAGACGGCCCCGGCCTCGGCACCGGCCCGGGGGAGTGATCAGTGCCAGGCCCTAGGTTGGGCTCCCGAGGCTGCGTGAGATCCTCAAGGAGCCTTGAGGATCTGGACTGGGAAATAGCAGCCTCACACGGAAGCAGCGAGGTCCTGTGAACGGACCGGGTGTGATTACATGCCAAGGTCAAGAGTGAGTGGGGGTTCCGGAAAGGGAGACCCCCGCCAGAGGCCAGAATAGTTGCAGAAGCCTCCAGGAGGAGACAGGGCCCCGCCTCAGAGGCGGTAGGATTTACATGCAGGCCTCTGTCCCGGCATCCTGGGCGTGAGGGCATCCTTTCAGACCCCCGTCAGGGACGGGCTCGAAGTTGGGGACGGGCTTCCAGGAAGCAGAGGATTTGAAGCTGAGTCAGGACATCAGAAACTACATGGTGCCTTTCCAACCGCCTCCCCCCACAGCTGAGGAAATGGGGACCCCAGTAAAGCGTGATCTATGTAGAGGTGCCTTTCGGGCGGTGTGGGGTCCGGACCAGAAGAGCCCAACCTCCTCACGGCTTGGAGGTGACTCTCAGAGTGTTCCAGAAAGCACTTTACAGAACAGAAATGAACAGAGGGCCCCCCACTGCCCTGAGGCCCCCAGGGTTCTTGCTCCCTGGCTCCTTCCTGCTGGATAAGTGGCTCATCCGTTGCGTTTAGTTACGGAGATTACTGGGTGGGGTTTTTTTTCCCCCCCTTCCCCCAGGATCTTTATAAAACAGCCATCGAGTTTCTGAAGTTGGAGAAAATCGAGCTCGGGGGAGTGAGAGGGAACATCCTTGGAAGCATGGTCACCCAGATTTACGATGAGGTCTTTGAGCTGGTGAAGGTCTTTGCCGAGTGCAAATACGACCCCTTGGACCCCGGAGATTCGGTAAGTCGGGGGCCTCGGCCGGATCCACGACAGACCCCCGGGTGTGGGAGGCACAGGGGGGGGTGGTGTGTTAGACGGTCACGTTCTGAAGACGTGCTCACGACAATTTGCGCACTCAGATGGAGCCCCGAATCCTGCCAGCGGGCTCAGGGTCGGGGTCAGAGCGAGTATTCCCCCGCTTTGCATGCCGACTTACCAGGTTGGTGTTCTGATTCAATCGCAGAGTTTTGACGACGATTATGCCGGTTTTGAGACCAAAATTCAAGATCTGGATAGGCGGCTGGCCACCATCTTCTGCCAGGGCTTTGATGACTGCAGCTCCATTGAGTCATGCGCAAAGGTAGGCGTGGGCAGGGGCCTGCTGGCCGCAGTGTGTCCCAACGACACCCGGGGGGGGTGACACCGGGAGCCACCTTGGGGTGACCGTCTGGAGAGGAGGGGCTGGCCCAGCTGGGGGCCTCGCTCAGTGTCTCAGAGCTCCTTGGGTAACTCCTGTCGGGTTTTGTCGCCAAAGAGTAAGGAAGGAAAAAGAGTAAGGAGCAGGTGACAGTTCATCCGTTTACCGATAGTCACTAAGTGAAGGTGTCCCTTTGTTCTCACTCGATTCGACCCTCCCCCTGCTCAAAAGGACCAAACGTTAGAGTTGCTGTAAAAATAAAACGTGCACTTTTTGACCCGCTGAGCTGAATTCACGCCCTCTTCGACATCCGAGGCTCCACGAGTGGCCCCGGCATCGTTAACAGGGACCCGCCGCTGCCCTGTGGGTACGTGTCTGCCTTCCGTGTACTTTTCTACGATTTCCAGGTGGCGAGCGTTACGTGTTTTTAGCACTTTTGCGCTTAGAAAAAAGGCATGATGCTATGGAAAAAGAATGTCAAAAAATAGACGGCAGAAAGGCGCTAACCCCCCCTGGACAATATCCGCTCAAAAGGGAAGCACGGGGGCGCCTGAGCGGCTCAGTCGGTTGAGCGTCCGACGCTTGATTTCGGCTCAGGTCTTGATGGCAGGGTCGTGGGATCGGGGTCTGTGCTGAGCCCGGAGCCTGCTTGGGATTCTCTCTGCCCCCCTCCTCTCTCTCTCTCTCTCTCTCTCTCTCTCTCTCTCTGCCTCTTTCTCTGCCTCTCTCTCACTCCCTCTGCCCCTCTCTCCCCCACTCACGCTCTCTGTCTCTCTAGACTTGCCTACTCTGGCCCGGCAGGTTAAAAATTTTTTGAACGAAGCCGCCAACATGTAAAAGTTGAGAAGGTTCACGTGAAAGTCCAGACTTTCACCTTCTCTTGGAAAAGGCGATCTGGCCACGCTGGCCTCTACCCAGCCCCTCGTAGTAACAAGTGGCTGAAGGGAACAACTGTTCCTCCCTGTGGACAGAACGTGGCGTCCAGTTGGCCCCAGCCCCCACCAGTCCTTCCCGCCCTCGCTCACCCCTCTTCGTGCATTTCCGGGGCCTGCCTGGTCCCAACAAAACGATGGAGGGGGGCCTCTGCTGATGCCACGGCCCCTCTGGAGAACGGGCATCAAGCATTCAGATGAGTAAATATATGTATGTACTTGGGGAGGTTTTTTATTTCTGCCTGGTTTTCCTCGTGTTTCTCAACGCGGACACTCTGCGGGTCAGACCTGCTGCTTCCCCTGCTGTGCAGGCTCTAGGCTGCTGCAGGAAGTTCAGTGCCCACAGGGGACCCCAGTAGTCATTCTAGGATCTTCGGTCCCACACGCTCGGCTGAAATTGTCACCCACGTTAGCCATCTCCTTGTGCCAGCTCGGAAAAGTCCAGAAGCCTGCGCAGGGTCACGCTGTTAGCCAGCCAGCGGCATGGCCGGGACCCCAAACCAGCCCGAGCGTGGCCAGACAGTAGGACAGTCGGGGTGGCCCAGGTAGCTCAGGGTGCTGACCATCTTCCTGGATCCTGGATCTCCCCAGCGGAAATGGCCAGGATGTGCCTTTGCCTTCGCCTTCTAGACCTTGTTTTTGCAAACGCAAGGGAATCGGATCTGCAAATGGGATGAGCAAGTTAGTCTCAGATTCAGTCGGTGCTGCAAGCAGAATATCCGTGAATGCAAATTAACACAGCAGTGGAAGTGCTGTTCCCGTCTCTGGAACATTCTTCCCCCTAGGTAGCTGCCTCAGGCCAGCGCGAGGCCTCCAGGACTTCCCTGCAGACCCGCCGGCCCTCCCTGGTGTCTTCTATTGTGTGTGGGTCTCTGTGCGTTCATTGTCCTCCGGGCTCGAATATCCCCTCCCTAAAGGCAGGCGCTTGATTTGGGTGCACTCGGAACCCAGCCAGCCGGGCACGACAGCAGGTGCTTTTGGGCTCTCCTTGCCCAGGGAACTGGCTCCGGCCGAGGAAGCGGAGTGGTACTGGGGTCCCAAAGCTCCAAGGGTCCCAAACACAGGTTTCCAGCCAGTCCTGTAACCTGGAAACAGGAGTCTCCCGCCGCACCCCGTGATGGGGTCTCCCAAGCTGGAGGGCAGCGCGGGAGCCCGGCGGGCCCTGTGTCTCCCCTCTTGCAAGGGCAGAGCTGAGAGACGCGTACCTGTGCTCTTGGGGCTCAGGGGCTGGGGCTTTGTGCTGTTCAGTCCAGGGGCCTCAGGGAGCTGGGCTGTTGCGGCCAAACCAACAAGGTCGTCCCCTTCGTGATCGGGAGCCTGCGGTCAGCGCCGCGCTGCGAGGGGCAGGGTGTCCGGGAGGAAGCCCCCTCCCCCCAGGCACTCGAGGGGGTGGCGGAGGGAGGGGGCCACGAGCCAGAGCACAGAGGTCATGAACAGGGCACTCTTCTGCCCGGGCCTTTCTCGTCCCCTCTCCTGTCACAGCCTTAATCTGAGTTCTGCATGCAAAAAGGAAAGGTTCTCTCCGAAATTTTAACTTTGTGCTCGTGCTAGATTAAAAAGAAAAAGAGAGGGGTGCCTGGGTTGCTCGGTTGGTTAAAGGTCTGACTTTAACATCTAGGCTCAGGTCCTGATCTCTCGCTTCGTGGGTTCAGACCTCCCCACGGGCTCTGTGCTGACGGCTCAGAGCCTGCAGCCTCCTTCGGGTTGTGTCTCCCTCTCTCTCTGCCCCTCCCCTGCTCGTTCTCTCTCTCTCTCTCTCTCTCTCTCAAAAATAAACATTAAAAAAAGGAAAAGGAGGGAGAAAACGGTGCCTGTAAACTGTTTCCACATCTACCTGCCTTTCCCTCCGCACCTGGGAGCATTTCCTCTCCAGCTTGACAACCCTGAGCCCTAATGAGGACGGGCCCCCGGGGCTCCCTCCGTCCCAGCCCGTGGATTCCCTGCAAGTCCCCAAGCTGCCCCGGTGCCATCTCTCACACGCAGCCAGGAAAGTTCTAGAGCAATTTTCCGCATGATCTCCTGGCAGAAAATAAGATTAGCTTCCTGCCCAGAAGCCAAAACCATGTGAACGCGGAGGGGGGGTTGTGGGAGGGGGACCGGACAGACAGACCGTCAGGAGGGTTGTGAACCAACCAGAGGAACCTGTGTCTTCCAGGGGGCGCTTGTCAATTTTGTGAGAACTTGCAACAACGGTGACCCCCAGTGGCAGCCCCCCCACCCCGCGGGGAGCTGTGCTTGGAGCCTTACTTTCTCCCAGCGATCCGGCTACTCTGTCTGGCTTTCCGGGGGCCTGAAGAGCTCTCCTTCTTCTGCAGCCGGGTCTCACTGTTGCCCAGAAAGGCCATTTTGGGGACATTGTCCTATTTTTCGCACCAAAAACTGGGGCGAATCTGAGACTTGGGTCCAGTGCCCCCAGACCCCAAGAGCCTTGGACCTTGTGATCTGAGCACCTTTGATCTCCGTTTGCCTCAAGGGCCACTCTCATTGGCCCCAGTCCGGGTCTGGGATGACCTCAGGCCAGCTGAGGAGCTTCCAGAACTTTCTCTGTCTGGGTTCTAGGAAGGGCTCCCCCTTCAGGCCCAGCCCAGGGCCCTAGGCTTTGCTGTGCCTTGACCGTGAGCTGTGACCTTTTAGGAAAATTCTCTGTCTGATTCCAGCCAGCACCCTACCCCAAACATCCAGATAAAATATCTTGCTCTCTTCTACTAAGCGTTTTATGTTCTAAAACAATTCCTAATGTTGAGCATACATAGGCCGTGAGGGCGATGAGCCAGCTACTTGCAGAGGTTCTCAGGCATGGTTACTGTTTTCAGAAATGTGCTGTGTTGCCTCCCAGGTTAATTTGGGCCAATGGCATCCAGCAGACAGGTCTGCAGGCCTAGCTTTCCTCTCAGGGTAAAGGACACATTACGGGGGATGCAGTAACCTGGGCTCGAACCCCCCAGCGTCACAGCCTACTCCACATTCCAAACCTCCCTCTGTGACTTCCTCAAATCTTTGGGGGCGACGTTCTCAATCAGTGCTCCCCACCCCCCCGGCATCTCTGCTCACTGCCTGGGCCCCCGTCCCCACCTCCGCCCCCACCCTGGCCAGCCTGACTTCTCTCAGGCCTCGAATGTTACCAGACCTCAGACCTAGTTTGTAGCGTTGGCTTCCAGCCAAGCGTTTTGGGACCCCGCGTGCGTCAACCTGCAAATCACGGAGGCGTCGCATTTAACCAGCTGCTCCGCGGAGGAAGATTCTGTGTCCTCGCCCCGTTGGGCCAACAGCCACGCGGCGGGGGCGGTGCCGGGGAGGGGGCCGCCGGCGGGGACCCCGGCGAAGGCGCGTCTCTCCTCGCTCCCCAGCTCCTGTACATGTGTGGGGGCCTCCTGGAGCGACCTCTCATTCTTGCTGAGGTGGTGCCCAGGTACTCGGTCATGCTGGAGCTGTTTGACGCCGAGCTGGACAACACCAAGACCTTGTACGACGCCCAGCTCGCAGCCTCCGCAGACGGGAACATCCCCCCGCTCCACAAGAACATGCCCCCCGTGGCCGGGCAGCTGAAGTGGAGCCTGGAGCTGCAGGAGAGGTTGGAGGCACCCATGAGGGACCTGAAGCACATAGACCACCCGTGAGTCGCGGCCCTGGGGGGCAATGCGCCTCCGTGGCAGCAGGGGAGGGGAGGGTCCATCCTGACTCCCGAGGCCGTCCCACCCTTCACGTTGGCCAGGCCTCTCCTCCCCAGAGCACGATCCCGGAAAAGACCCCACTCCCGTCCCCCCTCCTCCAGCGGGAGCCTGCTCGGCGAGCTCGGCCCTAAGGATCTGGCTTGCCCCCGCCCCGACAGTCAGCCTGAGGGAGAGTGACAAAATGGTCCAAGTGAGGACGAGCACTGGCTGGTCGGAGCCTGTCACGGCAGGACGCGGCCACTGTCGCTGCGTCTGGCGGAGACGCGGACGCAGGCGGGGGAGGGGAGAACAGAGAGAAGGCTTCAGCTGTGCCCTGACTGTAGGCCGCCCCGGGCCTGGGGGCTGGAGGGGTCGCCTCTGCGATTGGTTGGGGGGGCGTCTCCGGCTTTCTCCAATCCATCCTGAGTTGGACGGGAAGCTGGCAGTCCTCAACCAAGTCCTGGCCGTTTGGGGCCAGTTGTTACCGGGGCGGGGGCTGACATCCTGGACCCGTTGCTGCTGTCACGGGCGGTTGTCTGTCTGTCCGTTCAGTCTCCCGGCCCAGAGGAAAGGGAAAGCCAGCTGCTTCAGCACCCCCAGATCTGGGAGCCGCACTGAGGGCGCTAAAGAGACCCTGAAGGAGGCGGGCACCTCACCACCCCACCACCCCATCACCCCATCACCCCATCTGACCGATTCCAGGGTCATGTCCAGCACGGAGGCCAAGCTGATCTACCAGAAGTACGACGAGATGATGGGGCTGCTAAGAAACTACCGCGAGAGGACCTACCGGCAGTGGGTGGCCGGCGTGGACCAGGATTGCCACTTCAACCTGGGGCAGCCCCTGATACGGCGGGACCCCGTCACCAACCTCATCCGAGTCAACTTCAGCAAAGCGGTGCGTGCCGTCCTGCCGCCGTGTCCAGAGGGCGTCCGTGTCAAAGGTTCCACTGGGACCAGGGCCCCCCTACGGATGGCGGGTGGGAGAAGCCCAAAGAACAGACCCGTGGCGTATTTAGCTGGAACTTTACTGCGTGAGCGGTAAAGCGTGTCCGCGACGTGTCTGAGGCACGAGACCAAACAGCAGCTTCGGTGACGATAGTCCTTCGCAGCTTGGCTGCCTCTCCTGTGGTCTCAAGAGGCAACGTCAATCTGAGAATCGACAGGAACACGGAGAGAAAGGTCCTTGCGGGGTCTGAGCAGACGGGCCCTCTGGTTAAGTCAGGCAGGGTGGAGAGGATTCACGAGTGGGCTGTGGGGCGTGCATCCCAGGGCTCAAACCTGGGTAGCTGTGAGCCAAGTGCCAAAGACAGAGGAGTGGGGTGGCCCGGGTTCCGGCCACAACGCACCTGCCACGCTTTAGATCCCGGCAGTGATACCGTGAAGGCAGATGTGAGGTTTCCTCTGAAACCTTCTCTTCCACTAAAATGGAGTCTTTTCTTTTTTTTTTT